CCTCTGAGGAACTTTCCCAAGGATGGTGGGATTAACATGAGTCTCAGTGAAAAGAAATTCAGAATAATAGCTATGCTAGGGGCCTAGAAAGTAATTAGTACAAATTAGAAGAAGAAATCAGAATCTTCAAGAAGAATAATTTTCAAGGAGTATATAGAACTGTTAGTGATATGGTAAAGAAGGCAGACACAAAATAAATGAAAGGAAAAAGCAATTAAAAATTCCAGGCGTGAGGTACTGCATAAAAAAGTCCTGATTCAAATATAAGGGAAATTAAAATGTGCCACAATTTTGACAAGTAGGAAGGGAGAGAGAGAGACACACACACACACAGAGAGAGAGAGAGAGAGAGAGAGAGAGAGAGAGAGAGAGATGTTGATCCCACTGATGCTGGAAACCTTCTCCTTGGAGTGGGACATATTATTAGACCCATAGAGAAGATTAGAAATATAACCCTATACACTGCAGTGAAAAAATATATAGTCATCGGTATAAAAGGTCTGTTTATTGATTTTCAATGTTTAGCATCAACCTGTAAAGAGAACACAAAAGCCTTAATCATTCTTTTACACCCTTGACAAAGTTAAAAGAAAGTACAGCTGACTTGGGGGATCGGATGTGGCAGAGGACAAGTATGAGGAAGGGCAAGACAACTAATAGCCCATCTTACTGTGAGGGCTCAAGTAATACTGTCTGAAGCTTACAGAACAAGCAAGAAATGTATCATGTAAGTTTGAAAAGGTAAGCAGTAAAAAAGTAAAAGGTGATTTAAAATTCAAGAAGGGTTTAAAATCAGAATTACAGGGGAAATATTATTTTCTTGTTGTACTTTCAGTAAAAAAATTCTACAATTGTACCCACAAATAACTGTGATCATAATATTTAGAATTATGAAGGTTATTACCTAAAAAATTAGAAGTCCTTAAAATATTCTTTTCAGGGTGTAGGATTTAGTTGGAAGGGACAGGGTTTGGAAACAGTTTTCTAAGAATTGATATTATAAGCTGTTCTGCACTATTTGGTGTCGTGCCATGTATTTGCATTACTTTGGTTTTTAAAATCACTGAGTACCTGGAATGTGGTAAATATAGTTAGAAGAATTAGAAGTGGAACCACATACCTTGTAGCAGAAGGGTCTGCAGAAGCAAATGATGCCAGGACTGGAGCCCTTCCTGGGGATGTGTTTGTGTCAACATGTGAGAGAGGAAGGCAGGGCAGGGAATCACAGTTTGCAATTCAGCAGGTAAAGTTCATGGTATATTTGGCCAATTGATTGAAACTGTTGAATCATAGCCCTCAGAGAGGTGAATTAGGAGAAGAAGTGTTTAGGACTTGGGGGCTTGGGGACTTAACTCTGCTTCTTTAGATTAATAATATTCCAGTCAGCCAGATAGAATTACTGACAGTGTGGAGCTCTAAGAATCCTTAGAGAGACTCTATCCAGCCTTTCATTTTATAAACAAAGGAAGCTTGGTAGTGGCAGAGGTAGGGCTGGAATTCAGCCATTCTAACTCCAAGTTTCATGTTAGATCAGAGGAATTCCAGGCTAAGACACTCCTCCAAGCAGGCACTGATAATTTATCGCATATCTATTGGGGGCACTGTCTTGACCACTTGGTTCATGTCTTTTAACTTTTAATGAAGCCATCCATATGAGGTATGCTATTCCCATGTTAAATTTGAGCAAATTAAGAGAATTTAAATAATTTGTTAATTTGTTTAAGGCCTAAAGCTGGGCAGAGGCAGAGTCTGGATATAAAAGAATATCTCTAGGTTCTTAATCCTTAGTTTCTGGCTCACAGTTTGCACCCTACTATTTGAGGTGAGAGCAGAACATCTCTATATTGGTGACCAGAGTAAGAATCATAACCATTTCATACTTAATCATTGAACACATCAACACAGCCCCAAAGAGAGGGAAACATGATCCTCCCACTGGCACTGTGTGAGCAGGGCTATTTGATCTGCTTCTTCATTCCCCCGTGACCACACTGGGCGAAGGCCTGTGTGCCACTAGTCCACCCTTCTTAATTAGAAGGAACCCCAGGAGACTCTGCACAGCTCTAAGCCATTCGGAACAAAATAAACAGGAACCAGAAAAGAGGGAGAGGAGGGAGAAATCCTCACTGACTTTAAAAGATTTATACTGACAATATCCTAAGGAGCTTATGAAATGTATTTTTTTTCCTTTTTTTGTGGAGAAAAACTGCTGATGAAAAGATAGCTTTCAACTATAGAGTTTCATTGAGAGTGAAAATACTTTAAGCTCAGTCTCTTATTGATAGTCCGGTTGCCCAAAATAAAATTCATATAAACATCATCTCACATATTAGAACTGGAAATATAATCCGTCTTCCAGTCAGCTTTGAAAACATGCCATCATTGAGGTACTGCATTAGTGAGTTACAGGGACAGAATTTACATGTGTTCCTACCCCTAGGAAAGAGGACCAGAGGTGCAGGAAGAACTCTCAGACCTGACACCCCAACACCTTGAGCTTGGTTTTTGAGGTTCCAGTGTGTACTGTGACCACACACGTGCATAGGAGAAATGGGACAGTGTCTTCATTATCCCCATGTTCTTTCAGTAGCTAGAAAAATCACACCTTTCATCCCAACTTTCTACCAACTTGGAAACATCAGTAGAAGCTCTCAGGTAAAGGCATGGTTATTGTTCCCTTATTTGTAAATTCATCCTAACTTCGGACTATACTCTCAAAAAGTCTGGGACAAGATCGTATCACCAGAGATACTTCCAGGACTGTTACCTGCTCTGGATAGATACATACTAATGTAGAAATGGAAACCCCAATCATTCCCGAAGAATGTTTTCTAACATAACACCTGTGTTTACAATAGAAACGTATAGAAGAAATCAGATTTGTATTTAGTCACATCCTTGTCCAAATGTGGTGGTGTAGGATGAGGTTGGGTCTCCCCTTCCCTCCTCATCAGTCCTCTGGAAGTCCCATTCTGATGGTGTCACGCACCTGCTCAAAATGTTGAGCTCCCTATTATCCACAAAATAAAGTAAGATATCATCACCTAGGAATTATATGTTCTTTGTGTTCTGGTCCCACCATCTGCCATCCTAGCCTTTCTAATTTCCAAATGTCTCTACATATCCCACTCTGCAACCCAATATTTTCTACTTCTATGTCTTTATCCCTCTTCCCATCAACTTGTGTGTGTGTGTCTCCCAATATCTTTATCTCCCTTTCCAAGACCTAGCTTGAGGGTCTATCTTTGAGTCTTCCCACCTGGACTTAAAGTCACCATCCTGGAGTTTCCCAAAGGACTTTATGTGTCTTATGACTTTATAACCTGTACTTATGAGTATAGTTCTTACTGTGATCTTTTCAACTCTACCAGACTGGAGTTCCTTGAAGGCCAGAGATGTATGTAGTTCATGTCTGTGTCCCCAGGACAGACTGACATCCAAGTAAAAGAATTTGAGAGAAGAAAGGAATAAGGAAGGAAGGAAGTAAATAGTTGGATTTGGTCAAATATCTATCTGTTCCTGTTTCTCCTTAGCTGCCTGAGTCACTGAACTATAAATTGTGGGCACCAGGCACCCTGATCATATTTTAGGCTAAAAGACTCTACTAATGAAGATGATCCAAGGAAAAAAGCATGGCTTACAATTCCAGAACCTGGCATTTGGCCTTAACTTTCAAACTATGACTTGATAAATCACTGCCACGTCTATGTCTCCAGTCTGCTTCTCTGGAAAAGCAAGGGATTAAATTTGATGTTCTTTCCAATTCTGGGTCTATGGTTCTAACTCCATACCTTTTTCTCTGTTCCCACGGCAAGTACATTTCCCCCCACTATAAGTTGGGGATAAAATAGAGATAATTTACTGAGAGTTACAGAGCATTTTCAAATGCCCATATGCCATGTTAAAACTCCAGCAAGTACAGAGGGTTCCTAGTACTAACCCCTATTGTCCTCATCCAGCTTAGAAACAGTCTTGTGCTCACCTCATCCTGATTTTAACCAGAAGTCACTTTCACCGACTTTCAGAATATTACATGTCTCTTCTTCATGGAAAGGTGCTTTTCTGGTAGGAATCCCTAACTTTAACCTGCATCATTCTTTATCACGGACTGCTAAGGCATTTGCATCTCTGGTAAAGTGGGTTATCTGAAGATGGAATGGTGGATGTTTAAGTGTGGGGAATGGGAGGGTGATTAAGAAGGCTAAGCACTCATTAGCTGGTTCTCACTGGGGAAGTTGAGGATCATGTTGCAGTAGGTTTTCATGAAAAAAGAGTAGTGTCTACTGATCCAAAACCTCAGTGAGAAGTGCAGCAAGTAAAATTAATGCATCAGAGGGATGCCTGGAACAGTAAAATGGTGATGTGCTTTTATGCTGACAGTAAACTCCATGGGTGTAGGATTCTTGGAGGTCATTTGGCTTGTGCTACTGGAATTGGGGTTGGCTTGTCCCAGAGGGAAACTTGGCTACAAGCATGGCACCAGGAGGGATTTGTAGGGCTTTCTTTGTGGAGACCAGTTGCAAATTCACATGACTCATGAACCCAAGAACTGAAATGGATCTTGAGAGATTATTGAATTCAGCCAACCCTTTTCATCCCACTTTATAAACAAGGAAACTGAAATCTAAGCAAGTTAACGCTGTGCCTAAGATCACTTAGCTAATAAGCAAAGGAACGGGAGTCCTTTGAAATAGATGTTTTTATTCTTGTTTTACAGATGAAAAACTTGAGGCTCAAGGCCAGGGCTCATAAGTAGGGAAGCTAAAGTGAGACCATTGACCTGACTGGTTAGGACATCCCTGACCTGCTATCTGTCTGCATCAGGCATACTGCTTACAATGGAAAGCTAAGAGAGGAGGACGGGGGTGCTGGTTGTGTGTGGAGAAGTGAGAAAGGCCTCCAGCATCTCCTACTTTGATGCTATCGGTCCTGCCACAGGACTGCCGGTGGTCATCTTGCCTCAATACATCTGCAGCTTCACTTTTCCTGTTTCTTTCCAGGCTCTTTCCTCCTCCTCAACACCTCAGCAGACTCCAAACACACCATTCTCAGCCCATGGATGAGGAGCAGCAGTGAGCACTGTACGCTGGCTGTCTCTGTGCACAGGCACCTGCAGCCGTCTGGGAGGTACATCGCCCAGCTGCTGCCCCACAATGAGGCCTCGAGAGAGATTCTCCTGGTACCCACACCAGGGAAGCACGGGTAAGTCTTTCTTTGTGTCCAAAATTGATTTCATAAAAGTGATTTGGCTTCTGCCTGCAAATTTCTCAACTCTGTGACATCTATTTAAAACTCACAGTTGTCAAGCTGGGTGGGTCCAGTTTGAACCATTACTACTAATATTCCCTGGGTAGTATCTCAAGCATTGATCTGTGGGTCTCCCTTACCACCTTGGCTAGTGGTCCTTCCCTAGGCCAGAGGACCAGCTGTCAGAGTGCCATTTAATGTGTGGGTGTTAAAAATATTCATTTCCCAAAGTCCAGATGGAGCCAAGAAGAAAACGGCTAAAAAGAATGTTGAGAGGCTGAAATTAAAATAATTTAATATGCTGGAAACTGGGTTTTACCAGTGGAACTTGGGCAGGAAGGAAAAAGAAAAAATATTGTGGCCACCTTAGCAGATCTTATGAGAATGTGGAACCTCAGAACACACCAGTATCATCTTAGTGGAGATTGGAACAGAGCTTTGTCCTTGAACCCCTAGAGCGTCCACAATCTTGAAGTCACACCAGCCTCTGACAGCCAAATCCTCTGAGCTTTGTAAGGATCTCACTTACTCAGCAATCTGTCAGGCTTCTAAAGAGGAGCGACATTGGAAAGCAAACTCGAGTCTCTTTGCCCATCTTTTTTCTCCACTAATTTCGTAATTATAAGTACTGTCCTAAGTTCCCAGTTGTGAGAGCCCACAGATCTCATCGCTTTATAATCAGCAAGGGTGAGGGATCTTTTTGGTGGCATATTTTCAAGAAAAAGTTAGCTGACTTGCAGCTATGCTCAGATTTGGCTTCTTTATAACAAAATACCTGTTCAGAGGTTCCCATCTAAACAGTGACCCATCTTTCATCCTTCTGGTATACACTGGAGAGTCCTGCCTATTGCTTTTCCAGTAAGATTGTATGACCTCCTCAGTGATTTCTTGGAAGTCTCCTCCCCACTGTTCCCTACTGACCTTTCTGTATTTCTTGTCTCTGAAATGTCTCTTGGGGCTAGACAGGAGGGTTCCAGCCACCAGTGCCTCTTGTTCTAGTCCCCAGAAATCAGGACTATCAGGTGTCTGGGTATCCACTGTTTTGGAAGAGCTGTCTTCTGATGTCCAGCCTTCATCTGCATGACCTCCCCTATCCAGTAACAATCTCAAATGGTAGGGCCTCCCACCCATGGGCAGGGCCGGTGTTGGCCTTGGCTGTGGTGCCATCCTATAGGCATTAGCCTAGCCTCATGAGTGATGCACTCAACCTTCCCTCCCCACCCAGTCTGGACTGATCGGGGAGGCTGATCCCCTGTGGGGCTGAGTGGGTGCAGTGAGGAATCACTGATGTCCTGGCAGGGAGCAGAGTTAAAGATGACTTTGAAAGGCAGGCTGAGAATATCCATGAGTGCAAGAGAAAAGGTGCCAGAAGGATTTTGGTACATCCTGCATAGCAGTGCTCATTTCCCTGGGAGTAGGCAGGAATACAGTGACAGTCATAGGGGCTTGCGCAAGGTTTTCTCCTCTTCATCTTCCTGTGCTCATGACTACCAAATGAATTCCCAGGTAGCAGATGAGAAAACTGAAGCAGAGAGAGGAAATAGAAAGTGTTATAGTCTAAACTGGACCCTAGAACCCAAAGCTTCTCAGCAGGTGTATGGGGCTTGGATGGGAAAGCAAAAAGTTAAGGTAAAAGAATCTTGCAAGAGAAAGATGATTCAGGTTGTTTGATCCCTCGAGCAGATGAGCCCAGGGCATGCAATGCTAGCACCTTCACAGTCAGTCTTCCCTCTACAGGTGGTGAAAACAGGACCATCGCCTCGTAATGTGAGCAAGCCAGAAGTTCCCTTAGACTAGAGGCTGCCGTGGCCACCACTATCGAGGTCCACCAGTGCATGCTCTTGCCAGTCCAATTGCTCCATCATCAGGGAGTGTGGGCTGCCCTCTGGAGGGTGTAAGTTGAAGCAGGAGAGAGGGATCAAGATTATGCAGGGTAAATCCCATGAGGTACAGTTTTGCCTGGGGCTGCTCCTGCGTCTACAGGGGCTTTGTCTTAGGCTCCATGAATCTCAAGTACAGAGATGTTTTCCCCGAGCCCTTGCAGAGACATCTTGAAGTATAATGATGAGTAGGAATGATTCCAAATTTAAATTAAAGATGCCTGGCCCAGACTCCCCACTTCCAACAAGATCAATGTGGCAGGGTGGAAGGTGAAAGCCGAAGGGGCAATCAATAGCCCGCTCTACTGCACTGAGGAACTCTGCTCCCCTGGGCATCTTGGTAAGCTGCAAGACACAAGGCACTTACCCAGGAAATCAGGGAGCTCTAGAGATTTGCATAAAGTTAGATCAGTGTTATTGACATTTTGGTAGAACAATTCTTTTTAGGGGGAGGAGGGGTGTTCTGTATATTTTCTCCCAATACCCCAGATATCTATGCAAATAGATTCCAGTAGCACCTCCCTAAATTGTGACAGTCAGAAACCTCTCCTCCAGATACTCTAAAGTGTCCCCCATGTATGGAGGGGCACCATCCCCCTCCCTACTGAGAATCACTGATAGAATAGTTTAAATCTGAGACCAACTGTAGGACTTACCTGGTTCAACCTTTGCAATTTACAGGTGTGAGAATTGAGGTCCAGGAGAAGTTGTTCCCGGTCACATCATGAGTTTCATTTTTGGCAGACAAATGTCTCGAGTCCTACACTTGGGTGTATATGACAATCACTGAACTGGGCCTGGATTACAAAGATGTAAGGCCCAGTCCCTTTCTTTGAGTAACAACAACTATTGCTAACATCTAGTTAGCACTATCTGGATACACCACCCAGGCACTCCATGGACTTTGCATCCATTGTGTTATTTAACACAACACAATGAATTAAATTATTATTATTAGTGTCCATTCTACAAATGAGGAAACTTAGTGAGGCTAGATAACCTATCCAAGGTTACAGGCTAGACAGGTTGAGGTGTTCTGAACCTAGCCAACCAGATTTCAGATCATTTTTATCCACTGCTGTCAGAGCTAAGCCATGGTAGTGCAGCAGAAAATATCACAGCACGAGGCTGTGAATGACAAGCCTTGAATTTGAATTCTTGCTTACCAGTTCATTAGTCAATGAACTCAATTTATTGAGTACTTTCTATTTGTTAGGACCATAGAGGTGCAAAGAATACAAAAGGTCAGATCCTCTACCAAGAATGCTCAATGAATGAGCTCTGTGGCTTCAAGTGCACCCCATTCCTTCTGAAATCTCAGTTTCTCCATCTGTAAAGTGAGAACGATGATGCTAGCCCTGCCCACATGCTATTGTGAGGTCAGTGTAATGAAGGGTAGAATGGTTTTGCACAGTCTGAGTAATGCAAATGTAAGGCACATTATCTAATATCCTAACCTGCTTTGCTCTGCTCAGTCTGGGATCAAAAGAGATTGAAATAAGTCTGCTTATGGGGGTCACAGCCCATCTCAAGAGTCCAGAGGTTCACCTCACTGAAAGCTCATTCCCTTTAATGTCGGTGATGACCTCAGTAGTGTGATGCTTACAGCGGCAAGGGGAACGCAGTGATATCCTGCAATGTTGACTGTGATGTTGACTGTGATGTTGACTGTGATGATTACAAACGGGGCTGACTTCCTCTCATAATAGGAGATGAGGGTTTAGGGACTAGTAGATGGAAAATAACATTCAGTGTTGCCACAGGGGAGAAAGTTGTAATAATAAAGTCCGCTGGGGAGAGCCTGACTCAGCGGAGTGGGTTGAGGAATGACAAGTCAGACGCCACCAAGTCCCCGGAAATCCTTGAGTCATGAGTGCAGTGGCAGCTCCGGGAGCAGAAGCCTGCCTGGAAGCACTCAGAGCAGGGCAAAGACAGTTGGGGATGCACAGCAGCTGTTCCTTTCCTAGTCTCTTGGAAAGCAACAGAGTGTGTGAGGTCTAATGAATCACAGAGCATGAGCAGTCATGTCTGCCAAGGCAGTCTGGCTTTAGTAGGGGTCTCCCAGGGGACAGCCAGATGAGTGCCCAGTCTGCTCATCTGCCTGGCCAGAATGACCACAAAAGAAAGGAAACAGAGAAACCAGGGCTGCCAAGCAGCCCAGGCCAGCTGGCCACAGAATCAAACAGGCACCGGACATCTTAGCTAGAAATGAGTGACCACGGAGTTTCCATAAATTGAATGACTATGATAATACCTACTTAATATGGCGAGGTGTGAATGGGATGAGGGAAGTGGCTTGCAGTGTGGCTGACCAGAGCAGCCATTTACAAAATGTTAGGTCCTTTGCAGTTTATATGTTGTTTGCACAACCATGGGCTGAGTGCTTCTCATGTAATAGGTGTCAAAGATGACACAGCTAAAGACAATGAGGTCACAGCTTTCAAGGAATGTCCAGTCCGTTAAGGAAGCCACAAGTAAAATAGCAACAGCATGTGCTTATGGAGCTGCTTTTAAACTGAGGCCCAGAGAGATTAGGATGCTGAGCTAAGCTCGGTGGCCAGGAGAGACAGCACGGGCAGGGTGGCCAGCTCCTGCTTCTGCCTAGTGAGCAGCCTGCTGTACCCCACTGCTGTTGAGGTGTCTCAGAAAGATCAACCTGGCAACAACCGGCAGTGCTGTGCTGGCCACAGGAGCACAAGCATAAGGCCTGGTGGTTTTCAGGCCATGGGAGTGATGCTCCAGAGCTGCTTCCCACACATCCAGCTCAAATATTCCTGCCGCTCCAAGCACACAGCTCTGTCCTGCAGCCGTGAGTACGTGGGGTCTTTATTAAGTGTGACCAGAACTATACAGTGTGGAGAGAAGACTTGGGTCTTGAGGGGAAGGGAGTTCGGATCACTTGAATTACTAATACTTGGAAAGATGCTTTAAATCAAAAGGATTCGGTGATGCTCCAGCTCATGCCAGGGAAAGCTATCAGGCACGTTTCACGGTGTGAAGCCCCACCTCAGAGAGAGCCAAGGTCCTCCTAAGTGCACAGCCCACCTCGCTTCAGGACCTCAGCACTAGACCCAG